GGCTTTTCTCCGTCTCCCAACTACTCCCAGTTTGGATTCCGACGGGGATTCCTGATCCAACTATGGGCTACGACACACACACACCTTGATGGCCTTTCTAATCCATGGGATCTGAGTCAGGCATGGTGGCGGCTCCAGCCGCGCCACCCACGTGCGAAAGCAAGTCTCCTATCACTGAAATCTAATCCAAGTGTAAGTCACCATTCCTGCACCACCACGCTGTGGAACACAAAATGAACATTGCGGAAATCGATGGTGAAGCTGTCGGGCTGCAGAACCTCAGCTACAAAGCAAAATGGAAGTATTCATTTTCACCTCGCAATCAGAACAGACCGATGGATGCTACTCGCCAGTGGCAACGTACTCCGGAGCCGAGTTCAAATAAAACGGAAGAAAATAAAGCGAAGTGATGAGAAAATTGCTCAAAGCTCTATTAGCTGGGGCTTAAAAACTTGAGATAGAGCCCACACAGGCTGGTGACGGCAAATGCATCAGAAAGGACCAGTCTAATGTCCACGTTGTTTTTTTGTATCAAAACTTCCAAAACTCGAACCACGACAGACGCCAGTACAGCGCTGATGTGTTAGTGTCAGAGCACATTGTATGTCATTGTTAACCTCCGCTTACACCTTACACTTTCTTTATAGAAATAACGCAAAAGCAGAAAACAGTCAAGGGGATTGTGTACACTTAATGTCTTACACACAAGGCGAACAAAGGGGCGCAGAAAAAGGCACACGAACCTGAACTTTATCGCGAAGGTAAGTGATTTCAACAGACTTGTTGATCTAAAGGAAAAAATAGAAGAAAATTTTGAGTGGGTAATACTAAGCTTAAAAGGCGTACGTCAGACACAGGGGAAATTAGGAAAGCTAACCAAAAGCACTGATCGACAGATTACGCTTTTAAATTGAGTAAATGAACGGAAATTATAAACGCGCACGAGAGCAACTTCACACAGGTTTTACTAACGCAAGTACTTAAGAAAATTAATGGATTTTTATATCGACACCGAAACATCGGTCACCAATAAGCCTCACGTCCCTTCGACTATGTGAATCCCTGCACTGCCCTAAGTAGAATAAACCGTAAAAGTCTAGTGAAAAAAGTTTCACTTAATTGTGGACCCTGTCCTCAGGATGCGTAAGTACTTTGTGTTATGGCTGAAAATAAAGCATGCATGTAGTGACCCCGTAGCGTCTTCCACGTTTGGCGCCCCGCCATGGGCGAGATCACGTGATTGCAGAGTCCCGACCCACCTCTGGGACAGGGAATCACAGGTGCCGCAAACTACGCCACCACTCAACCGTTCACGTTGGCAAGGGAGTGCGCACACACCAAAGTCTGTCCCCTCCAATCTGTTCTGACCAATTACCTTCCTGAGGCTGACCTAAAAAGGACCTAACCACAACGACTGCTACTCCCATATACTTCGGACATTGGCTCCATCACGAGTGCTTGTACACTCGTTCGAAGGTCAACCTCCTCTAATCTATTCTCTACTTCTTACGTACAGAAACAATTTCTTCGACTTGGAGACTCACTGCGTCTCTTCACAAAAGAAACCGGGCCTGAGGATAGTCGAGGCAAAGGTTTTGCCTTTTAATTTAACCCACTGCGATAAACCCACTCAGCTGTTTCAATACAGACGTTGCATATGACAGTATTCTCCTGCTTTGATTAATCAATAAGAAATTGAAAAAAAAACATGCCAGCGGTTGGTGTACAGGCAATCGAAAAAGTAAAAAAACTGTACGTACTGTCACTGTAGAATTATGCTTGGGCTGAGGAACAGATGGAGAAGTAGATGCTACTTACCAACTCATTGTGCGAGGAAGCAGTTTCCGAAAGCAGGCTGCGCAACCTGTCCTCCATGGAGAGGAACTCGGCAGTCTCTATCACAACCACAGCTATGCCGTCGTCAGCGGTGCAGGTGCCAACGTCGACGAGCTTGGGACCCTCAAACACGGCCACATCGGACCCGGATGCCTGCAGTTCCTGGT